AGCCTCCTCTTCCTCTTTCCATCACTCTACTCAAACATAAAATCAGCTCACGTAAACACGCTGCTGTGCAGTAGTGTTTGCTTAATATTTTTCAGCTAATTGGACTATTGCCTGGGGGGAAACTCAATTACAATTATATCCATTAATTGAATTTAAGGCACAGTATAGGCACAGTATAACTGGACACTTTTGATGTGACTGTCTGAACATTGTTCTAAAAGAATGTAGCTGCTTTGCTGAATAACTGAGGTATACATCACTCCTACTGCCTACTTCATTGTTTTCTAAGACTGACAACAAAGCTGGTAGCAAACCAGATATTAGTCAGATATGTGTTCCAGATATTAGGCTGGATTCATACTGATACTTGCTCTGTGTTAAAACACTGCAAGGGGCTGTGTTAGTTGTAATACTCAAAGATAGGATTTTACAACTACTCCTTTTTCTTTGGTTGCGACATTCCGGTAAATAGCAGAAATACGGCATTCACATAACAAAGTCTATCAGGATTGCAGGCTTGCATGTATGGGATTGACCATTGTAGTGCCTTGCCACATGACATCACATTGTGTTGCAGAACACATTCTTTTTTGTCTCACAGTGCTGCGTTGTTTCAGACAACCCCTCAGTGGCTCCCCTTGCTGCACAAATGTACTTATCCTATTTCTAATAGATGAGAACAGCTGTGTTTTTCCACGCTGAGTGAAAGTCTGTGTAAACACAGCTCTGCTCATTCCCTTAGGGGTTACCAAGGAAACACAGATATTACCAGGAAAAAGGTCTGGTAAAATCTTAAGAACAAGGGGAGCTTTCCATTGACTAATTGATTCAGGTTGCTGAGCCAGTAATCAACTTAACATTTCAAACTTTTAAACAATTCAAATCAGAAAACCTCCATTAACTACCACAAGTGTCTCTGTCTTTGCTTATCTCCTTACTAAAACCTAACAATACAAAATTTTGCCATGCACAGAGGAGCGCGGGTGTTTTCCTGTGCCACATGTTATGACTAAACAATGCATCGGCAACTCAGGATATAAGGCTGTAAATGTGTGTAACAGAAAGCTAGGCCAAAATGCATTTCCTGCCAATGTCCTGGTAGGATCCCACAGATCAACACCTCTCAGAGACCTGCTGGGTGCTGACTATTGTGCTGATTCAAGAGAAGAAATCATGGCTTACAGGGCACTGGCATTCAAACACAATCATATCCCATAGAGAGAGAACAGAGAAAGCAACGCTGATAACAAAGTAGGTAGCATCAGATAAGAGGACCTGGTGCTCAGAGGCTTAACTGGGAATTTTCCTGTCTTTCCATGTCTTTTTTTTTAATGTGTTTGGTCTTCGTGTTTTCTTGTCATGAATAAATGTGTGTTCGCTGAAGGTGGAGGTGGGGTGGGGGCACATTTGAGGACATGCTTATTCTGATTAAGCACAGTGCAATTTTAGTGCCCATTTTGATTCAAAATAGCAATTGTGGTAACACCTGCTCAGACCACCTTTATCACAAATGCAGGTAAATTGCCTTTCCCCTGCCAAGACTCTAGGCTGGGAAATGCAAGAATAGGTACCCAAATTTATTCTAATGGCCACACTAACTTAAAATAAACTCTTATTTTTGCAAATGATTTGCCGGGTTTCACTCTGAATAGTTTATTGTTTACTGCTTTTTATGTCATCAAATAAAGTATTAAAAACAAACTTACCAGAAATATTATCACTTTTAGACACATTAGCGTGGCGATATCTACCAAAAACCAGAGAATTGACCTCTGGGAAAATTTACTTTGTACTTTTGAGTTTTTATTTTGGCTCATGTCCCATTCACTAACATAAAGGAGGCGGGATTTAAGACCTTTACCTCAACCAGCCATCAGGGGCGATGGTGTAACAGAGGCTTCACTTCCTAGCCTGTCCATCTTTGTTTACAGTCCATGGTTTAGACCCAGTGGTGATGCTAGACAAAATATTAGAGGTCATAATTTTCATTAGGTATTATCCTGCATATTATGACTGTATATATTTTTACAGTTTCATTACTTGCCAGAATATCTTGCTGTTTATCAATGTTTTGAATAGAACTAACATCGTTACTCTGAGGTACAACCACTTGTATGTCATAACTTTTTCTGGGACATATTGAACCATTCATCACAGCAGCAATGTTACTGCTGGTGCTCCGCTTCCAAGGCACAAAAACAAAAAACAATTTCATGCACTGTAGTGATATAAAGTGTGATCCAAAACAGGAACTATAACCTACAACATTTTCTAAAATGGTAATTTGGCAATGGCAACAGGGTGAGCAACAAATATGTGGTAATAACTAACAGTTAAGCTTTTTTTTGCCTAACTGAGCTGGGGGAATAGAGAAATGTATTGCACAGAGGCAGCAATCCAAGATTCACTGCCAGATTAGGCTGCTTCCTCTCACACTGTTCAGGCCCTCTTGCCTACTACTGGTGCCAGTGCTGGAGGCAGATCCAGTGTGAAGACTGGCAGATATATACATCAGATAGAAGATAGAAATGGTGGATTGGCCTGTCCAGACACCCTGAGTTTACCAAAACATATAAAGTTCATCTGTTATTCAAAGGCCATTGCGCTAGCATGTACAGACTTCTCATCTTTATGGCAACCATCTAGTGTGACAGTGGAAGTGCCTGAGTCTGCGTCTGAGTAAATACGAAGCTTTCTCCCTTCAAGTACACATTTAAATGCACATTCATAGCAGCACTCTGACTTGACCAGATGTTCTATAAATTCTCAGTGGCCACAGTGATGTCAGTTATTTACTGCTGACAAGACAAAATAAAAATAGCATAAATTTGAGAGAAATGTTTTCAGACTTTTACAGTAGGTTACATCTAAATGCTGTTTTGTGTGCATCTCTAAGTAAAATTTTTGTTTGCTGACTGACTTTTTAATGAGCTAAACAATCCAATGAAAATGCTCCCCTCTCAGTAAAAAACCATCAATATGACAGGCACTGCTAGGTGCTGGATGAGATGACCAAATGTTTGGTGCTCTATTCCCCCTAGCACAGCAAAATAACATGTGTTCAGACAGACCTCCTTATCTGCTTTGTGAAGAGCCAAGCAGAGCAGGAAGCTTCCTGCTCTGCTTGGCTCTGTGTAACCTACAATGGTTTTTGGCCTCACTTTGCCTTGAAGCATTGTGTGAAAATAGCCAAACTGTGCTTTGCTATAAGATAATCTAAAATAATAAAACAACCAAACTGAGACACAACAGACAACCCCTGAAATACCAGCTGAGTTGGACAAAAACATCTGCTCTACAGCTACAGTACACCAGAAGCCGCTGCATGCTATGATGGTCTGAGCCTTCAGATCTACAAAAATCTCTTCCTGCTTTACCCTTACCAAAAAGAACTGCAATGTCCGGTACAGTAAGAATGAAAGCAGAGTGAACACGTCCACTCTTTGCTGTTGGCACTGGTTCAGCTACATGTTCAGCTTCAATTTGCTAAATATTTTCACATTTAGTCGCAGTGAAGCTATAAATTCAGCTATAAATATCATGCAGGCTATTCCATTGTCAGGATGCGCTTGTAGTGGTGAAGAGGGATAAAAGTAGTTGTGAGTCATATATCAAAAGCTTAGAGAAGTAACATAGCAAATTGTAAACTGCAAACTAGTCATGATTTTACACAGAAAAAGAAATTGAGATTTTTAACGCCACCACCATCTTGTGATTTCAGTTGGGACTTACTCTCTAATCATTGTATGACAAATGATAACAAGCATACACCTTTAAAATATGGTCATTTTGAAGGTGTAGCATCTTCTTACATTAAATTAACCTTGACAAAATCAGTGCTTAGAATGTGAATCCACCATGACTGTTTGATACCAGTTCTGCAAAAGCATATTTTGTATTTTTGGATGCTATTTCACACTCCCACAAAGACAACAAAGCATATGAGAGGAGCAACAGGAATTTGTCTCTCCAAACACAAGGCAGAGTTCTATTCTCCAAATATGGATGGCTCCAGAATTACACTGTACTATTCTTTTTTAAACCATAAACTGTGTAGGCAATTTGAAAAGGATATCCAATCCCAGTTCGATGACACTCCACTCCACTCCTGTGCTCTCATAACACATGGTCCACTCCCACACTGCACTCATGAGCTCAAAATCCAGTGCTCTAATCTGTCCAGCCAGCCATCCATCCATCCATTATCTATACTGCTTATTCCTGAATAGGGTCACGGAGGGGCTGGAGCCAATCCCAGCCGACACTGGGCGGGAGGCAGGGTCCACCCTGGACAGGTTGCCAGTCTACTACAGGGGGGACACTTAGAGACAAACAGCCACACACACCCACACTCACTCCTACGGGCAATTTAGAGTCACCAGTCAACTTAAGCTGCATGTCTTTGGACTGTTGGAGGAAGCCGGAGCACCCGGAGAGAACCCACACAGGCACAGGGAGAACATGCAAACTCCACACAGAAAGGCAACGGGTTGGCCTGGGCTCAAACCTAGAAGCTTCTTGCTGTGAGGTGACAGCGCTAACATCACACTGCTGTGCTGCAACATTATGTACATGACCTGAAAAAAAACAAGCTGGTTAAAACACCTTTCAGATACGTGAAAAATACAGTGGTCATATGGGAAAGCTAGAGGCTTGCTGACCATCAGTAGCTGCCATGTTGTCTCCCCCAGTGAAGAAAAACAAAATCACCCTGGATATTTTGTGAGGTAACAGTTTATATAAACTACACAGGAAATGTTAAATCCAAGGTTTTACAGAATATTCTCAGATTAAATGTGGTTTGCATAAAAAAATGGGAGTCACTACCATGTTTAGGTATTTTCTCTGTTGTTCAATGTTCAACTCTAGCAGAGTTGAAAGCAAGATAAACTTGAGTCAATGTAACAAATGTTGTAAAGCAAATTTCAATATTGTTTTTAGTTATTCAGTTTAAAATCTAGAACAATCACAAAATCACATCTTTACAGTAACATCAAAAACTCCATGTATATGTGTGGCACAGCAGACTTACAGGTAACTGTTTCTCCAGGCAGTTGTTGAAGTTTTTGATTTGGTTGGGCTTCAGCTTCTTAAGGGGGATTCGTGTTTCCCCGATGAACTCATTGTGGCGGAATTTGTCCTCATCACACACTGAAATCCTGGAAGCAGAAGGACAGAGCAGACAGAGGAGGACAGAGTGAAGTGACGTTCATGTTAAGGTTTTGTTTGGCAGGAAGCATAAAACTAGTCATTTTCCACCTGGAACCCATCATCCTCTATGACGGGGATTCAATTCTCACCAAAATCTTCACTTGACTATAGAGCTACGCCCATCGACTATCTAAGGCCATTGGGCTCACCACACTGAATTGAACTCAGTCCTGCAGAGAAGTAGTTCATAAAATTTTTGTCAGGCTCAGTCAGTCTGACAGAAAATGATGAGATAATTATGCTTTTGGAAGCATTCAGTCATGTTTGGATCAAAAGACTCAAAATGGAAACCTCTGATGAGAAGAAGTGGAGAGACATTTCTGATGATTGAAAAATGGCATGGTTCCTGATCATGTCAAAGTAATTTAAAACAAAGTCACAACTTGAACTTGAACACATCCTGTGCTCATCTTATTTACTTAATGCAGCCTGTTTACTAATTTGTATAATGGGCCCATTTTTATGTTTTCCACTAAACACATAAACACAGTATCCACCCTTTTGTCAGTGAATGGCATCATCTATTACAGCATGTTTGCCACTGTGCTCTACAGTCAATAAAAATATTTATTATAATAATGAGTATAATTGTTGACAAAAGATGTGACCAGATGGTGAAAAGCAGCTCTCAGTTCAGTACCACTGAGGACAAACACTCTACAGTCTCAGGTTTTACTTTCCAGACTGGGGATCCATATTCCTCTCCCCCATTTCATTAAACTTATAATGAAAGTCAATTATTGGTGTGAGATAATGCTGCTCTCAGCAGACCTATGTCTTCAGTAATTGCAGAGAGAACTCTCAATGTAAGCACTCACAGTTCTGACATGTCATGATTCACCCTCATAACTATATCGGGCTCATGTGGTGGAACACTGTTTCAAGCGCATTCTCTGAATAATCAGCCGCAATATGGAACAAAACATGCAGCCTTTGTGCACCCCATGGCATGAGCAATATTTATTAGCATGGTAGCTTGAATGGGACGCAGCCTAATCAGAATCACAATGAATCTCAATGGATAAAAAAAATAACTTATCTTCTACAGGGACAGGTGGTGCTGAATTCAAACTTCAATTTAAAAAAAGAATTGAGTAGTGTTGTTTGGAAACATGGAGGCCTTTCTCACTGCATATTGTTTCTTGAAAATGGTAAATCAAGGCACTGTTATAGAAATAGATTTTTTTTTTGTCTTGTGCACAGACAAGTCCCCATTAGATCACACCTCCTGGATGCTGCCTATAGTAGAGACCTTCACTGTTGTTATGGCATTCTGTGCCATCACAGTACAGTAATATTTTCCTGCCCTGCAAAACAAAAACAATACTGTAGATTTGCAGAGTGTCGATAAGATTGCCACTGAATACTAGTGATTCAACAATTAGCTCACTAGCTACTAAGCTGCAGCCAAGTCTGAAAAGTGGAAGAGGTACTCAGATTGTTTGTTTAGGTAAAAGCAGCAATACAATAATGTAAAAATATACTTAAAGTACCAAAAGTAACAGCACTCATTATGTAAAATGGCACAGTTTACATGTATCATATTTTTTGATTATAATTACTGATGTATTATTGTGTCTGTCACATTTAATGTTGCAGCTGATGAAGGAAGAGCTCATTTTAACTTATGTGCTTATGATTTGAATTACTACTGGGTAGCGTATGAATTTTACCACAAGGATCAATACATTTTATGATCATACTGTATTTTTTTTATTAACCTTATTTTGAAAAATAAATAAATGTAGTGAGTACAATATACAATATTTTTGCCTGAAATATAGTGAGGTCAAAATATGATGTACAGTAGCACAAAATGAAAATACTCAAGTAAAGTACAGATACCTAAACAATTACCTAAGCAGAATTTGAGTGTATATAGGACCTCATTCACAATTTTATATAGAACTATTAACTATATAACTTATTGTACACTGAACAGCAAATTAATACTTAAGGATCATTTCATAATTTTGTATTATTGCTGTCATCACTAGTGGTGTGCAAATGTAAAGGATTCATCACCTGGAGATCATGAATTTCTATACAAAAATTTGTGCTAATCCATTTAGTAGATGTTGAGCTATTTCACAGGATACTGTAAGTGATAACTTTGATATGTGGGTGGTGCTACAGGAAGAATCAGGTCACCAGAGTCAGTAGGTTTCATCCACTTGTTGGGAGCATATACTGTATGTCTTTGTAAAATGTCATGGTATTCCATCCGATACTTTCTGGGATGTTTCAGTCAAGACCAACTGCCAAAAGACCAACAGAGTGATGCTGACTTAAAATGCCTAAAATCGCCATCACTGCCAATATGTACAATTTTATGCCATAGACACCAGTTTCTGTGATGCATGGGGGAAATCGAAACCCTAAAGCAAACTAAAATCCTCCACTGCATACAGCCCACCTATCACTGGGATGTACACTGCAGCTAACAAATGATTATGCATATGATTATGTAACCTACTTCGACCACTTGATTGCACAGTGTTAACACTTTGATAAAAATAAAGGAGCAAAGAACAGTGAAGTAACACTTCCCAGTAACAGTGTCACATTCTTAACACAGAAAGTTGAAATGCCTGTTCTGAGAACAGACTAACTATTCTCAGGTGTTGCAGAAAAACACAACCAGCAAACACAAAGTCCTGTCACCCAAACAAGAGTGCTTTTTGGAGATAACACAAACAAAGGGTTTCCTAACTGTTATTCTGATAGGGGGCTATCACACATTCAGGCTTGCCCTGCCACATAAACTCACATCATAAATTGTAGTGAAAAGAAATACGCAGGATAAATAACAACATCAGTCATTTCTGGGTAAAATGGCTGTTGCCAAATGGGGGCTGTAATGCAGTGATTTACTTCAGGAGCCAGGAAGAAAAGGAGCAGTCAAACATCACTGCTCCTTGAAAATGACTTTCCAAACCCCTTCAAAACAGATCTACAGCCACTCAGACTAAAGCATACCAAAACAAGAACAGGAATTTTCTTTATTATTATTATTATCCAGTGTCCTTCCTTCCTTCCTTACGTCCTCTCCCTTGCTATCATGTCCTTCTCTTTTCCATCAGTTTTTTTCCTTCTTTCCTTCTTTCCTCCATCCTTCATTTCCTCCAATCCATCCCCTCCTTTTCTATTGCTTTCATCTTCTTTCTTTTGCTTCCCTTCATTCTGTTCATTTCCTTCTCCCCTTCCCTTTCATTTCTACAGTACTTACCCTTTTCCATTTATTGCCATCTTTATTTCCTTCCTTCCTTCCTTTTCTGTCACTCCTTTAGTCTTCCCCCTTCCATTACTTTTCTTTCTCTCCATTCTGGGTACACATGGGGCTTAAAGTTAAGAGTACCTGAGCGTTTTGCGGACCATATCTTCATCAGTGATGCCATAGTAGGTCAGGGTCTCACTCCAGACAGGGTTGAGTGTGTTGCGCAGAGTCTTAGTTCTAAGTTTATTAGCCTGAAAGACAAAAAGTGCAGTTGGCGAACAGAACTGAACATCACAACTGACTAACTACGGGCACCCTCTGACAGTTCAAGAGAGCTCATCCCTCAGGGGGGAGTTTCATTGAAATGCTGTCATAAACATATCTGTAAGTGTACAAAGCCTTTCTGTGCTGGTGAATATTTGTCAGCGCATTGTTGTTTGGTGGCACACATGCAAACACAATCGCACTGCTGCACACTGAACTCTGTCAGTAATGAAATATAAACAGCAGACTGCCTTGAAGTGAGAATGACAATCAAAGCAATGCAGGAAGTGGATGGAAAACAAAAATGTGTCCAACAAGTTACTTAGATGAGCTCAGTTTTTACTCAGGCTGTTTGTCATCACAACATTTTTCAGAAAACATTCTTCCAGTCACAGGCCTTCATTAGACATTAAATTCACAATGTTAAAAATACTTTTTTTTTTGCTTAAGCCAAGCTGCAACACAGCAACTAAACAGGAATCATGTTAGTTATGTGCTGAAACTCTTTCTTGATGAGCACCAGTTTATCTCCCCACCAAGCATTTCTGGTAAAGTGCAGGCTGTCAGTTACAGCACAGTCAGTACAGTCTAGAAAGCTGCTCATCCCTAGATATCTATAGAATGTTACCCCACTAAAACACATGACTAATTACTTTTACTGTATGTGTAATTTGTGAGATTTAGTGTTTTTGTTAGTCACAGAGTAGATTTTAACTTTGAACAGAGCAGGTTTGCTAATCCCCCTTGTTTATTCTAAACTAGGTTAAACACATTCTGACTTGAACTCATCTCGTAGACGTGAAATTGACATTGATCATCTCTTATCACACTCAGAGAGAAAGCAAAGTGAATCTGTTTCTTAAAAAAGTTAAATCATTTCAAAAGCCTTCAAATGAAGTAAAACAAACAAGCAAACAAAAACAATCTAAAAGTGTAGTGAGGAAATGTTAATTGCAGAGCCTAACACTGCACAATATGTCAGGCTAAAGACATTCAATCATGACACTAATACTGGAATAGACAACCTTTAAAGGGAACTCCACTGGTTTAAATTCTCACCAGACTGTTGCATAGCATCCTCACTGACTTACTTCATCAGAGTTGCATCAGCTGTAAACTAGCAACGTGATGAAAACTACTGTGACATGTGACATCATGACATTATCAATATAATGTGCAGGGAAATCCTCTGAGCATGCCACCAAACATGACAAGATGAGGATGATGACACTGTTTTGAGTCCTGGGTGAGGATGAACGATTCTGTTGAATTTAATCAATTAGCTGGTGCCGATTCTTTGCAAGTCTGATGATGCAATGAGGCTCTTGCTGATTGCTTCTGTCTCAGTCAGTGATTGATTCCCATAGGATGGGTGTTGAACATGCTTGCAAGTAAAGTCACACACAAACGGACACACACACACACACACACAGACACACAGACACACACACACACACACACACACACACACACACAGAGGGCTTAAAATGATGCTGCTTTTAAGACTTATTTTTGCATAAAAATGCAAATAACTTTTCATCTTCCATCCCTCTCTTTTAGACTACAAGTGTTTCAAGGTTTTTGATCTTGTCAGAGAAAAATGTCTCCCTCAACTTTTAAAACATTTAGAGTAGTGCATTAAGCACTGGACATATTCATAGAAACAATGTACAGTATTCCAGTTCATATAGTGCATTAAAATTCATTCAGGTTGGTGCTGGTGACCCAGGAGTCCAAAAATGCAATCCTAGTGTCCCATGACATCTCCCCTTTCAATGCCTTTAAACCATCTACTAACACATATGATGGTGGTAGGACCACTGGCACATCGAGTGGCAAGTGATTGGCATTTCTCGTAGAGGTAGGGGCTTGACGGGCAGGTTACTAGCCAATGCTCAACCCAGCAGTCTCCCATGCAAGTACTGACCAGACCCAGCCCTCCATAGCTTCTGAAATCAGACTAGATCAGTCGTATCCAGAGCTCACCAGAGAGCCCACTGACATGGTATAAAGGCAAAAATGCAAATAGGGATTAATTAATTTCAATTGATTTAGTTTGGTGTGTTGCCTTAAAAGAGTCAAACTGCATATATTAACTTAGTTCTAAAAATTTGCCATGTGTAATTAGTGTGCAATTACAGGTCTCATCCTAAGGCCAACTTCATTTCAGTGACTCCAACCCAGACACAAATAAAGATATATGCTCTATATGGATGAAACTTAAACACAAAGGAAAAACAGATGACTGCACAAGAACATAATTGAACGGTACAGCTGTGTTGAATATTAAAAGGAGCTTCCTTCACATAAAAAAGAACGCAAACAAAAACCTTAACATGCTGTAATGTAATGTAATATCTCTATAAATAAGTCAGCATGTGATATTGTATTGTACCTATTCATTCAGCTAATGCACTGGCTAAACCAGTGTTCCCATCAAATGTGAAGGTCAGTGTGTTGGCCAACTGGAGGAGGAACACCTTCTTCTTTAAAATGTCCTGCTTGGCAGCATCTGAGTGGATTGTTGGCAAGACGGTAAAGAGCAAGAGAACTGATCAGTTGAATTACAGAGCAGTCAGATGACAGGTACTTGTGGGCAGGGATGTCAGTCACAGTGAAGCAGGTTGACTAGAAGGTATGACGCAGCAAGTATTTAATTAAAGGGTTACAAAGCCTTGAACGGTTCAGATCCCTGAAATGACAATGTCAGAGTGAAATGCTGGTTTAACTAGGGCAATGAAAGCAGCAGATTTAATGGATAAAGAGTAAACCTGTCATAAAGATGGAGTTTTTTTGCACATGTAGCACTCATCATGTATTAAAAGAGGAATAAGTCATCACTACCGGTGCTAGAAATGAGCAACTGGTGTCACCTGTAGCAGATGGGGAGAGAGTGGGGCTGAAACACAAACACACAGAGGGAGATTTATTGAGCTGCAGGTGCAAACACTGCAGTTCCCGACTATTCAATAACCTAATTTACAGTAAATCACAGCAGCTCGTTTAAAAAAAACAACTTTAAATTAACCATCCTAAAATTGCTGAAAAAATGAAAATCGTGTTTGACACTTGCATCTCATTAAAATGACGTGTTAATGTAAAAACAAGTCAAGTAAGAAATTGTGCTTTGTTTGAAACTCAGTTTTTAAATGGTAAAAATGACAGTCAGCATGTACTGTATTAAACTGCATAACAGGAGAACCTATTTAAACAATAGATCAGGTTTGTAATTCATCTTAAAGTGACACACCAAATGGGAATAGCTTTTACTGTCAGACTAGTAATGTTAAATTTCACACCAGCAGCGCACAAGCGTGTTGCATATTACAGTAAGGTGAGCACATTTTGAAATGCAGTATAAAGCTGAGGTGTTCAAAAGGTATTACAAAATTAAAAGCTACGATGGTGGCTGACTATGCAAGTGGTTACACTTGGTGGGTGTCACGTTCACACCCGTGCTGCACCACTCATCATGACCAGTGGGTACAGTACTGCAAGACAGAAAACATAATAACCAAACATGGTTTACAAAGATCCATATAACCTTTTCCTTTTATAGTCCACCTTCAGTGTTGTGTTTGTGATATTGGTTTAGGCTATAAAACTATCAATTTATCCTTATAAAATTTACTTCAAGGAGTGATTTAATTTAAAACCAATCTAAGAAGGAGCCGTTTGTGCAAGTCAGTCTGTTTGCACAATCACATTTTAGCACTGATTTTCTGTTTATTCCAAGCTCCGAAAAACATGATTTTTATCTTAGTTTATTGCACAAGACAAAACAGTGGTGGAGTCTAGCTAGTGAGGAATAAATGTCATTCTCCCTAAACTCACAGATTTACATTAACTTCTTCAAATCAACACAATAAAGTAAAATGTTACCACTTTATCAGCTGCTGAATGTATAACTCCTGCCTGCATCTTCTTTTTATCAACACCATGTTAAACAGCTGAGCTATTAAAAGCATAAATGGTTTAGTTATTTGCTATACAGTAGCTACTGTAGGCTAAAAATGTCAACTGCTAAGCACCTTGTGGTCCTGTAAAAACATCATGATTTTGTTGAATTTAATCCCTGTCAGTAATCAGCAATTTAATCTGGAATAATTACAGGCATTTCATTGTTTGATTGTGGTCTCATGGGAGATTAAAGTGTGATGTGGCATTGCAGCAGACCGTGAAACTTCACTTCTAATTAGAGTGCAAGCAGAACTTATGACCTCTTTAGTGGGTCTTAATGAGGCTGTTAGACCGAACCAAATGATTATTCTGAGATCAAACTGGGAAAATGTAAGAGCAGGGGAGAAGGTGACAGAATCTTGTTTTAATGGCAGGAATCTGCAAAGGTCTCCCATTGAGACAAAGCCTATGAGCCACATGCCTCAATGGAGAATTTTATTTCATTTATCTGTCAAATAATCCACGACACTGCTGTAAATACTGTACATGCTCTCGAAAGCAAGAGGGTAGTTGGCTTTAGTAGTGACAGTCAAGGACTATTCTCCTGTAAAAGAACTAGTCCATTGTTTATGTTAGCATGTTATGATGACCAACAGTTTATTGCTACAGTTAGGTGAACAATTACGACATAAAAACATAGGATTTTCCAACAAGAAACCATGATTCAGCTCTCATGTTAAATATGTTTTTAGTCCATGACTGTTTTACACCTATAACCACAATGTTTTTCTGAACCTAACCAAGTTGTTTATTATTGTGAATATAACAAAACTGTGACGGTCCCATTTTTGTTTCCATGACCCTGAAGGTCCTGTACACCAGTGGAACGGTCATATGGAGTGTGTGATTGTTACTATAATGTCAAAGGTTTGGATAACTGGAATGATTATCTGGGTCATATTCTAAGGTAGAGAAATTGTTTAGATTGGAGCACTTGTTGGGTCAGGGTTGGAAAACTCCTAACACAAACTCAAATCATCAAAATCATGTGAAAAAATGTAACAGTGGTAGTCTATGAGACAGACAAATGATCTCATCTGAGCATGATGCATAAACCAGGCTTTTCATGAAAAGCTAAATATTTGTCATGGATTGTGAAAATATTTGCATACTGTTCAAAAGGTTTTAAAAGTAAATTTAAATTAACTTAGAAATGGCATTTAAACTAAGTCTTTTTAAAATGGGAACAAAAGTTGATTGTAATGCCATGAGAGGCGAAGCATTATGTGTCAGCTGGGATGAGATCGAGAGCTAGTAGGAGCAGCAGATGGCAGGTGGAGCAAACCAAACTGATTGATGTAGATAAGGGTCACCAACTGGCAGACTCCATTCCTGGCCCTGACCCCAACAGGTTTCTCTCTGTGACCACAAAGTGTTTCACATTTAGATAGTTATAAGTCTTATTCAGACCGACTTTTATTTTTAACAGATGTGGCATGGCCAGCTCAGCAGAGCTGTGTGAGTCCTTCAGTTGCTGTGTCAATCAGGTGAGAGCAGTCTAGCAGACAGGTGATCAGGTCATGCAGAGTGCGAAAAACAAACAAACTCAGAAACATTGACACTGAAATCAAGTGTGTCAATCAGGTGAGAGCAGTCTAGCAGACAGGTGATCAGGTCATGCAGAGTGCGAAAAACAAACAAACTCAGAAACACTGACACTGAAATCAAGTGCTCAAAAATGAGTGGACACACAAACACCTTTATTCTGCCTCTCTTCTACAAATCTAGCAAGGCCAGTAAATCTTCTGTGCTCTGAGTCTGTGGGGATCATTTTTAGACAGATAGTTCAAAGTTTGAGTTCAAAGTGTTTATTTGTCATATGCACAGTTAGGAAACGTGTTTCCCTGTACAATGAAATTCTTACTTTGCCGTCCACGTAAATGCCACAGAATACAAATGAAATATAAAGTAGATAAATAAGAAGCATAAAATCTAAGGCACTTTAAGCAGCAAATGCAGCAATATAATAATTTTATAACTCTAAATGTGTGAGGAAAAAACATTTTTTTGTGAAGGCACTAAGGAAATGTGGATGTGTAATAGCCTGGGTCTCTACTGGGGAGGATCTTGAGTGACAGTACTTCCTGGAATTGTAGCTGAATAGCCTTGTTATAAATAATTAAAAGTTTTCAATTTGACATCTATCAGTCTGTGAAAAATTAAGTGGTGAATGATGATAACAATGAAATCCTACATATACTGCTGCAGGGAAGTCCAAAAAAAACAAGTACTCTTCTCTGTAAACACTTTAATATTAAATAAGTTTTCCAGCTGATGTCACCACAAACATCATCACTTCAGGACATCTCTAAGATTTCACACATATATACAGTTAAGCAACACTGCACAAGATCTATAAAAAGAGTTTGATGTGTGAAATTGAGAGTTCCCCTTTAAATATGAAGCTAGAGTTGGAATGGGTTTAGCCTAGCTTAGCATAAAGACTGGAAGCAGGGGGAAACAGTGAGCCTGGCTCCGATCAAACTAATGAACCTGCCAGCACCTCTGCAGCTCACTACAATCTCACAAACAGAGATGTAGGAAAACACTTTTCGTGTACTGTTGTATGCTACAATTATTTCCCAAAGAACAACAGTTGCTTATCTCTGTGTATAATACAGGTTGCCAGGTACAGTCAGTACCTTAAGGTTTTTATTTAATTGTTAGGTTTTGCATGATGGCACCAAACCTGGCAACCTCACTGTGCCAACTCTGGGAAAACATAATTCCTGCATGTACAGTATACCTCCTTTTAAAGCAATAAACTGTTTTTTATTTCTTTTGCACATTGAATAAACAGTGGTTTAATTAATGAGTAGGTGTTTTTCCCCCAGACTGGACAGATGTTTGAATGTTGTTTTATCACAGAATAATGACATGTGATTTAATAATCCAAAACAATGAATGAATCATAATTAAAAGCTGGGTTAATCCTGCCAACAGCTACACATAATATTGTGAAGACAATAGCAATTATCTTGTGGTAAATTACATAGAATTATCATTTAGAACAAATAAAGTGATAAATCACCACTTACATGATTATGTGTCATTTTCTTTCAAAGGTTTAGAGTATTTTTAGCCTTAAATGGTAGTGACCAAATCAGAGTATATAGTATTTCCCCCTATATCTCTGCAGGATGAGTCTTTCAGCAATAATACGCAGATTTTACTGAAAGCATCAAAACATTTATTTCACTGTCAGAAGATACACAACAATCTGGTCACTAGTTGCTGAAAATTATGCTCTTGACCCCCTCTGTTGAATAGATATGATCACAGATGATATCTAGATTCTACTTAACTCAAGCAATTATGTAGGAGGAGCTATCCAATTCAGACTAGCAGTAGGCAGGCTGCTGATTTGTTTTATGGGCCTAGTCTTTGAGTGGTGTGATATTTATTAGCGTACTGTTTCATTACAGTCATCAGCCCCTGGGCTTTCTTATTTACTGAATGGTTAATTACATGTTCTGATGCTAATAATCACAACTCTGTCCTTGCATCGTCACTAATTAGTCCATTTTTTAATTCCAGGAGAACACGCTATGCCACAACCAAGCACCATCAGTGTCTATGTACAAGAAGCAGTCAGTAATTTATTCAAGTCAGTGCCATTTGTGCTGTGACCAAAGACAGATCAGGTAATAAGAGTGTTTCTGAATATAACCCAACCAGTGCTTGAAATGGGAAGAATAGTCCCCCTATTCCCCTCATGGGCATGTATGTTGCCTCAGGGCATGACTATTGCCTCAGTTCGAAGTACACTGCAACCTTAATTGTGCAAGTAAACCTTAAAACATTTGTTGCTGCTTCTGGGAGAGCTTAGGCCTCTTTTTGAAGGAGCTGTCCCCATCTGGCTCCCACACTGTAGCTGGCAGAATGCACCTAAACTGTTTGTCCTAACTGCAGCTTCTTGTCACTGCCCCCTGCTCCCATCATCTGCTTTTGGCACTATCCAGGCAAGACACAATGCTCCTCAAATGAGCAAAGAGTACCGCCGGCAGCTTGTGAGAACTGCTGTAGAAGTAAAATGTAGAAGTGCGGTTATGGCGTGCCAGTGCATGCCAGCCCACTTTGCTGAACTAAAATAATAACACCAAACTAAAATAATAAGAACTATAATAAAATAATAAGAAATACAAATACTAAGAATTTATGATCATATTTAAAACATACTAAAATCATTTACTAGGCCAAATATCTACCTTCAGATTCAGCTACTATTTGTTACAATGCTTTTAACAAAAACAGTTGAACCTGTGTGCACGGTTTGCTGATCTGTTCCCTCAGCTCTGTAGCTTTGCATGGACCTTCTTTCAATATTAACATCTGTTAATGTTTCTATAATGACCCACTGTAAATCATACACCATGAGTAGACAAATGAGTAAATCACATTTTTTAGAATTATATTAAATACATAAAAAACATAACCTGTCAGGCATAACTACACAAGTAGCAGAGGTCTGAAGTCAAAGCTAAAGTTTTTTGGCAAGAGCAGGCGCTGAACAATTACATAGATCAAAAGAACAAATGAGATGAGTGTGAAAAGGTATTGGAAGAAAGGGAGATGTGAGTCAGATAGATGGATAATTGCACAGCTTTATCTTTCAATAAGCTGCTTTTGTGGAATGTACTCATTCACAGGATCTGCATTAAAGGACTTTAATGAAAGGATTAAATCAATCTCAAGGCCGGCTATCAGACGCAAGCGAAAAGATTTTACTTTCTTCTGGAAAACAACCACTGAGTCATTTAGTATTGAGAAACATAACATACATGCCCATCTTTTGTCTCATATGTGTATAATGACTGGGGTCTGACATGTGGAGGCCCATGAGAGCTCTAATAGCTCTTATACAAGAGATAATAAATCACATCTCTTCAAGTGTGTCCACTTGTGATATTGAACAGGCCAAAACTGACTCACAGTATGATGATAAGAGGCAAGTGAGACACATCATTGGTAAGTGGCTATATTAGGCCAGTCAGTTAATGTTGTTTACACTGATGAAGATTTGCGCTGACATTCCCTCACTGTGGTGCTCCTTGAATCATGAAATAGATTATTAGCGTTCTCCCCATGTGGGTCTATTTTAGAGCCTTAAGAAAACCACAAGAAGTGCTTCATAGAAAATATGTGGATCCCTGAAAACCCAGTCTTCAGGGATCTTTGTTAACCCATCAAAGGTCATTTAAACAACGTTAAAGAATTTAATCTACACACAGCCAGACATTAAAATTGCAGTGTGTCTTTGAAAGCAGGGAACGCTCATTCTCACAGCCTTTACAACTTTCTGTTGACTCTTGCTTTGTGTTTTGTGTGATTATGACTTAAAGGAAAAGTTAAATACTTTGGAAAGTATGTGTATTTGTGTCATTCCATGAATGAGATGGGCCGGATCCACTGTTATGTTTTTGTGTTAAGCACTGGAGCTGCAGTCAGAATATGGTTAGCTTAGATTGGCATGAAGATTGGAGGCAGGTAAAACAACTAGCCTGGTCCTGTCTAGTCATTTTTATTTATTAGATTTATTATTAACATGGTACATACCTTGCTGGCTCCGGGCAGTAAGTGTAACTTGACATAGGGGTCTGACAGCCCATTGTGGTCCATCGGCTTGAGCCCCTGGGGATGAAACACAGAGATACACAAGTTCCTCTAAAACTGTTTGAATAATTCATAGACGATTCAGCAGCTATGTTAATTAGACCTTGTAATATGGAAAGGTCAGGGAGTCACCCCCCCCAAAAAAGATTTAACCTCTGACATCATAAAAAGCTGACAATTTGTTCTGAGAGTAGTGCTGAAGGAAAACTTACAAAGTGTAAACTGCAAAAGGTTCAGCATCTGGTGACCATGATGAGCTCAGTAAAAGTTAAACAGACTTTTGTATTAGAACACTGGCTGATGCTTGTGGTGTAAGAGGAAAGGTCAGCAGGTCACCAAAACATTAGAATGGACCATATTTGTGGACCATGAGTGTCATCATCAAATTTAAAATATGAAAATCTGTTCGGATGTGAATATTCACATCAAGTTTCCTGACAATCTAGAACCTGTTCTAGAACCCAGCCAGCACTGCAGGTAAAACTGTTCCCACCTAAACAATATTGTGTTGACATTATAACATATGTCGGGCTATGTTTTCCAGTGTACAATTGAATGTGGATATGATATTGACTTGTCTAATGAAGAACAGCTAAAAATGTCATAATGTACTACTGAATTTCTATTCAATTTTATTTGTATATTGCCAATTCACAACAACAATAATCTCATGACACTTTACATAATAAAGTTTTGAGTATTATAGAGAAAAACCCAACAAATTCCCCCTTGAGGATGCACTTGGTGACAGTAGAGAGGAAAAACTCCCTTTAACAAAAGAAACCTCTGACAGACCAAGGCTCTACTGTAGGTGAGTGGCCTTCTGCATGTGTGTAAGACACCAAGAATCCAATATAATACCAAGAATATACACAGTGTGCAGAACATTTGATGCAGATGTTTGAGATATTCAGTACAGTACCATCTCATCTGAAAAGACTCCCCCTATCGCCCTGAATACTGAAGTGAATAAAGGCACTATTTAAAAAAAAAAAAAAAAAAATCTTCAAAAAGCAAATCAATGAGCCTCATAGAGGGATCAGGAAGTAAAGGTCACTCATAAGGTGACTGAATAAAACAACACCATGAGGGTTCTTGCCTAGAGAAAGAAAGGACCTGAAGGGTTTCCAGGGTGTAACACAGGGAGAACAAACAGAAGACCTCAAACCAAATGCTGCTGGGAAAACTGAATGATCGATTTCCTGATCAGATTTTTTGAAAAGTCAGAATATACTGTACGTTCCACACAAGGTGCTTTTAAATGATTTTGTTCACATTTCATATGACGATGCCTTGTTTCAATTTGCTTAACTCCTTTATTCAATTACATATTATATTTTTGATGGCACATGGCTGTGGTATGAGCAGGTTCTCATTTCCTATATCTTAGATTACAATCATTACGGGGTATTATCCTTTACATAAATCATCTAAAACTTCACAAGATATCACATGACCTATAAGCCACTATTTTAAAAAGAAAATGTTTCTTGGAGTGGTCATTTTTCTTTTTCCTTTTCTTTTGTTTTCTATTATTGCAACACAAAACAGCACATTTACAGATCAGAGGACATAAGATGGAAGAGCTGTTATATTTCTGAGATATTCACTTAAAAAAAACTGTTGAAATTTGATTTTGAGGTGTTTCCTCAATCCGCCTGTTCAGCAGCTCCATGTATTAGTATGATGATAGAATCAACAGCTGACAGGAAGATGCTGCAAAGCTGCTGTGATCATAGGACTAACATTCAGCATGACATTAGATCTCACCTAGGAAAAAGTGAACGATATGGCCAACACTGTATACAATCTTTTTATGAGTTTACTGCATAACATTCTGGCCTATTAAAGTTCCTGTCAGGGACTAATTGGCATCTTTGCCTCCTATGTTGGTGCTGAATACTGGAGGAATATACCGAGTCCTGATTCTCAGGGCTGGCACAACAGACTGAGGAATGTGAGCTGCAGTATCTTAGTTTGTTGCTGAACCATCTCGAATGTTTGCTTTTTATAATCTAACTGAGTGAGGATTAGGAGGAGGCTTTTTGGCCTACAGTGCATACCATAACATATTAAAAATGTTTGTATGCAGTGGTAAAAAAAAATTCATATTTTATAAATATTTGATATTTCATCACAAGTATTAGAAAAAATATCAGGTAATGTTGCAATATTTACAACCTCTGCACCTTTCTTTACCTGAGGACTTAATACACTGACTTCTAGTTTTTCTGCTGATAGCAAATGGTCTGCATTTATCTTAGGCCTTAAAGAGCTGGTTCTTCTGATCAAGTTTTATAAATACCAAGTGTATTTTAAACTAATCTATGACATTTTATTCACCCAAAGTTATTCAGATTTCTCTAAACCCATTTTATCAAACAGATTAAATTATTCTGATTATTCATTCACCTCTAGCAGCTGTTTCATTGGTTATTAACACAAAATGTATATTATTCATGAGCACTTATTTTGATTATGACTTACGCTCACCCCCAGCCAATCAGAATAGTAGCTAATGAATAATGCAAGTATCCTAAGGTTGATCTTTATCTTGTGTAATGGCTGCAGTTGTAAACACACAACAGTATATAGAGGTATAGTAACCAGAGTGTGATCCTGAATGGGAAGGAGAGGAACCTGCTCTTTCAGCCCCAGAGACTTCAGCTGGATGTTTCAGAACAGCAGGATTGTGTTTTAAACATAGCAGGAGGTATCTAGCTTAGCTTTAGCACAGCTATATTCATTTAGCATAGTAATGCTCCCTACGATGGCAGCATAGCACTGCGCAGGGGTTCAACACCTGGGTGCACCGTCACAACAGGCACAGTTTCAACACCGCTTGCTCCCGACAGCAGGGAGCTAGAGTTTAATAATTTGACAGCAGAGGAGGCCATCACACCCTGATCTATCCCAAACCTCCATCATTCCAGCTCTTTAAAATGTGATCATTCATTATGCTGCTTAGCACAGAGAAAAACAGACTTGCTGAATAATTAAACATACTTATTTATACACAGAATAATGGATAATAAGGCTTTTAAACCCCAAGGCTTCATGATTTCATAATGCAAAAATTTCATTCCTCCTCTGGAAAATAATCACGATTTCACATCACTGAAAACTGGCCTGAAAAAAAAAGAAAATTCTTTATAGTGACATTATTTTAATTGTTTCTCATCTTTATGGTTGTTTAATAGACCAAAGAGAGAAAAACAAAACAAACATGATGTTTATTCACCCACAATGATCAGACTTATAGCAGAGCTTGGCTCAAAGCCCAGCAC